TGTGTGTGTGTGTGTGTGTGTGTTTACTCTCTTGGGAGGGTGCATGTGTCAATGAGGATTGTTAGCACTTAGCAGGTGCTGCGCAGCTGTAGGTAAAAGTTTTACAGCGCTTGCAACTGCATCAGGTCGTAGGGGCTTGTGGGACCAAAGTCAGTTGTTACCGCGTTAGTTCACAGCACGTCTTTGCTTTTCTTTGGAAGTAACAATAGTTGAAGTTTCTAAAAATACATAGTAGGAAATAAGTTTTAATAGCAGCAGTTAACATTTTCGGAACGGCATTTTCTATATTTTGGAATAAAGACTATTCGTCTATATAAAATCGAGAATTTTATTGGGATCAATACTGAGGGTAAATTGGTCACTTTTAAGGACAAGCGGGCTAACTCAGATTCCGGGGGTTTCTAGAAATCTTGACCTACTCCAAAAGTGGGCATTGCCCTACCTATAGGAGAAGTTTGTTTCATTGGTGTGTATATTTGTTTGATTTTAGAGAAAACTCTCCTTGTCTTTGAAAGAAACGGAACAAGAGGCAAAAACTTTACCTTCGATTTTCTCAAAACAGCATTTCTCGGGATAGCCTTCTTGTGTTTAAAAGCGACTAATTCAAAATATATAATCAGACTAAGCGATAAACCATCCGCCAATGACTTAACTCACCACCCCCTCCCCCCACCCCTACCTCTGGACCCTCCAGGACTTCCAGATCTCAATGATCGGCTCCCACTGCAAGCTCCAGATCTCCGACATGTACCCCGAGGATGAGGGCGAGTACGCGTGCACGGCCGTCAACTCACTCGGAGAGGTTACTACGTCATGCTACGTGGCTGTGGAAGGTGAGTTACTGCCCCTTGAACTAATCACCAAATTATAATTCTAACCACAAAGATTGATAATGGTGATTTCCCTTGTTTGGGGTTATGTGTGGGTTTTTTTTATCTTCGTTGATTTAACAAAATTGTGAGTGTTGTCTATTTCATGTTTTGTTACTTACTTTGTTTTGTTGTTTTTCTGGGTTGATATTTTTGCTGTTATTCTTGTTTGTTGCTATTCTTTATTCCAGAAGATCTGTCTCAAACGTGTGTCTATTTGTGTGTACATTTTGTCCCAAAGTACTCCAATGATTCTATGAACAGATCATACTAACGAAGATCTGTTTTATATGCGACAAACAGATGTTTTGTGTGTTTCTCTGCCTGTGCGTCTACGTGTTTGTCTCTTGATTTGTTAGTCTGAATAATATTGTAGTCTGCTTTATCCGTGTTCACAAACAACCCTACCTCAGATTTACAAAGTTCTATCTGATCAGTGCCTCGTTTTGAGAAATCTGACGTCAAAGATTTTGAGTTTAAATGATCTCAAGCTTGTTCTAAAGCAATTGTGAGGCAGCGTGGTGGAATCAGGGCATGTAGAGTTATTGGTATCATCTTTAGACTTGTTCACTTGTATTTATTTGGATTAAAAAGAGATCAATTTATCTTGAATACAAGTCGAGATATTTGCGAAAGAAGGAGATGGGGGTCACCTGTTTTTAGAGATAAAATAAGTGAGAAAATGGCCGCCAAAGATTAGTTATTTCCTTAGCTTAAGAGTCCGTGGTAACTGAACATTTACATTTTTTGTGCCTTTAATCAACGTTTTTTTTTTTTAAATCCTCACAGAAATGAGTTCTTTTATGGGCCTGAAAGGTGTTGAGCCAAAAAACAAAAATTTGATAAAAATTCACAAACCTGCGGAAAAATGCAAGTTTCTTCATTTTGATTATTTTGACGACAGCCTGATTCCACCACGCTGCGAGACAATTCTTTTGTTTGTTTTAGTAGAGGTTTTACGGTGCTCGCAACTGCATAAG